ATTTATGACACCAAACTTCTACTCGAATTTCGAAGTATTGGTTCTTGACAGTTCGAACTTTATTAGAGTTTATTTATCCCAACTTAGTAAGTTGTTATTTGTGAACTCTGAAAGTTAATTATTTTATTGAGGCAGCTTGCGTTGCTTATATAGATAAATTTTACAAATAAAAATATTCGAAGGATATAAAAGATAAATACTATCCTAATAATAACTAATTTACTTCTTATTTACAGTTTCGCTATTATCTAGGAAATAATACTAATAACGATTATCCTTTCGATTTTGTAAATCGATACTAAAACAAAAATAATAAAAATAATAAAAATAACATAGAAAAGTACACCCACCAAACCAATAAGGAAAAAACGATTCAACAAAATTATAAATCTCTAACAAAATTATAAATCTCTAATTATATTTTATATAGTTATTTATTTATTCGACTTCTCATACCTTTATTTACGTTTAAAAATCGTGATAATAATTTATGCAAACATTGGGTGAGCAGTGTGGCTTTGTGTTACCTTAGAATGGCTTAAACACAATAACTGCTCACGAAGGATTAAATCGTTAAAAGAATTAAAAAAAAAAGAATAATCCTTGAACTTCATAGCCTTCGCGAACAAAACTGTATAAATATAGGGTCCTTTCACCTTCTGAAAGGACAGTAACCGATTAACGATTAATAAATAAATCACTATTACTTAAACCCTAATCCTTAACTTTTCCAAAATATAAATTACTATCGATTCCTCCATATGTTTAAGTCGAGTATTGAATAAAAACTACGCTGGGTTTTTTAATCAACATAAAGGAAGTAAGCATTGAGGCCGAATAGACCTTTCCCTGAGTAATTAAGAGCCGTATTATTTTTGATTTATATAGTACGAACATTTGTATTGGATAGTTATTAGGACGAATAGTTAAATAGGTCAGTTGATTGAAGTTTATTGTTTTACTAATAGTATTAGCATAGTGATCTATTTGTTTTATTATAGTACGTTTAAGAGTAACGCCACCTTTATTAAAATCAGATTATCCCTTAAATTCATCAATCCGACACTCGACCTTGTTACAAATAGATTATCGAACCCGATTGTTATAACTTACCCTTTCCATAATAATTAGATTAATACCCATACCACGTTAACTATTGGAGCTAAACCGTGCAACGTTATCCACTCTCCCAATTTACAATAGTAACAATAGACTTGGCCTTATAATAGATAATTTTATTAAGGGAATTTTTTTATTGATGTATGTGCAGGTGTACTGTTCTTACGCGTACAAAAATTACATAGATGTGTATTCCGTAATACGTTAAACATCGTTACGTCCATATCAGATGTTGCGTATTAGCGATGCTAAGAATAGTATCAATATGCAGTAAAACTTAAGTAAAGACTTATACGATACTATTTATTATATATTTTTTAACCCGTCCCAATAATTTGATCAATTTTTTTTTTAATGCATAATCGATCCTACAATTGATAAATTTAGCAAATAAACAAAGAAAGAATATTCAAATGGATAAGAATCTCGAGATGCGGTTGGCTTTGGTTATTTTATACTCTCATTATGTATACCTTTACCTTAAATCGCATATAGTACATAAATAGCCATAAGATAACTTTGATCGTGTTAAAATTTTAAATTTAATTCTTAATTCAAAAAAAATGGCAGGAACTCCAGCATCAGAAGCGAAGAAGTTATGGTGGAAATTTTGGTTATTCATAAATTTTATTTTTTACCTTTTACTTATCGTGACAATAATCACAGTTTATCGTTCAGTAAGTTTTATTTTTTCTAGATAACAGACGCTCTATACTACATTTTAACGATATTAACCTTTATCTAGCGTGAACAAGGTCAAGCTTTGACATTAGCTTTTATCATTATTATGATTGTAGAGTTAATACAACGTATTATAATCGTATATACACTTCGTAAAGATGTCAACCTAAGTTTCTGCGAAATGTTTTGCGTATTTGTCTGTAAGTTATCGTAACATTTCTTCTAAAGAAAAAAAAAAAAAAAGAAAGCACTTTATTAATTTGAATCAATTAATATAGTCAGATCGGAATACTATTTTCTCTGGGGAAAATATGAAGTAAGTTCCCATGTGGTTGATAAACTTAGTTCGATATCGGATTTATTTTCGATAGCTTATTTAGCAGTTCTTGGTTGGGCGATTTATAATGGTTTATCAGGAATTAAAAAAGATCCCGATATTAAAAAAAATTTTTTAATTGCATCGGCATTAGTAACTGGTATTGCTGTTATAAATTTTATTAAATTTTTATTTAGCATTTGCAAACATGTTTGCCTTAATACCCCACCTCCTTATTCTTCTGCTTAATTTATTAAAATTAAATTCAAATTTATATATTGAATTAGTATATTCATTCTATCAATTACATTTAAAAAAGCTTGTATTTTTACTATTCATATATTGGAATTTAGCTATTTGAAAAAAAACTGTCAGTGTAATTTTTTCGATTAAATAAATTAAATACATATGGGCTAGGTGCTGGAAAAAGGGCCGAAAATGACAATTTTTTCAAATGAGTTTTTTTTACATAAATCAATTTAGAATTAAATTAGGATCATTTTTTATTTAAAATACAAAAGTAGTTATATTAATAAAATTTTGCAGTATAGCTCTTTAAAGTTTGCATTTTCTTATGACTTATTATAAGTTTATAATATAAAAATTGATTTTCCGAACTTTTTCCAGCACCTATCCCATATAAATTAAGTACTGTGAACCCGGAAACGTGATATGTATAAACTGCGCATATCACGGGTAACAATTTTGACGTGTGAAACGCGGCTGGGCAGATCATTTGCCTTAATTAGGTGATCCATCAATTAATCTCGTTAATCTCAT